AAATCGTCTAGAGGGTGGCTTGAAAATTCACAAAATGGTCCATGTTCCTAACAGTAACAATAAGAAGAATGGTGCCCTGAGAAAGTGTCGCGTGAGTGCTAATCACAAGGTTAGAAAAGAAACAAGTATCATGTGTGCAGGCTGTGGTGTGGCTCTCTGCAAACTTTCATGTTTCAATGTTTATCACACGAAGAAAAACAAATAAAGAGGTGTGGAAAAGCATTTATTGCATAAAATATTGTATTTTAATTAGTTCCTAAAAATTTCGTTTTTAAAAACCAATTTTTGTTGAAATTGTTTAGGAAAAAGTAACAACATGCATTTTAGCGACATAAGGTTTAAAGGGCCTGCCAGTACAGGGGTGGGATTTAAATACCCTTCGCGCCAGTCAAAGAGTTAAGATGTAAAATTTTGCTGCTAGTCAGGGCCATTGAACATCTGTGGGGATCACCCATGCCTTCGCATTTGAAAAGGAGGGAACTGCATGTTTTCTTGTTGGTCTGTTAGTTTCAAACAGCATGATATGCACAGTTAACAAGATGTTGAGGACCCATATGTTGTGTTCATGGACTCTGTGTCCTGTTGCAGATTCAGATTAAGGGTAACAGCAGTAAGATCCTGGCTCAGATGACTCTGAATGCCACAACCACTTCAGTTCTCCTTAACAACTTGACCACTGGAGGTTCCTACACAGCGCGGGTTGTGGCATATACTCACGTAGGGCTGGGGCCCTTATCAGCTCCAGTACCTCTTGTCATGGACCCATCACTACTGCACCAATACCCTCCAAGGTGAGTTGTCCTATTTTCCTCAGTATCAGAGTACTGAAGTAAGGATGATCCCAGTTTTTTTAATACTTGTTTTATCATAAGATAATTCTAGAAACTTGATTTTTATGCGTTTGCACAAATAAAGTAGTTCACAGTCATGAGCCACCACTGCAGTTGGGCCAACTGGTAAACCTACCAGTTAGACATTAAACAAAAGATGGCTCCTGAAACATATTTTGAAGTTTTCAGAATGTGTCCCTGTGGATAGACTATATTGGGCTGTAACTTAGCAGTCTTTTTGTCTATTCTATTAGATCTGTATGGTTAGTGACAAATTATATCTACCCTGCAAACTTTTAACAGACATTTGGGAATATTAATGTTTTTTCAAATTATGATGAGTCAGTGAACAAGACTGCTTTTATGTAGGAGAAAGGTCAATGCTGGGTAAGTAAGTCTTCACGAAAATCTGAGGTAGCCAGTAATTCTCAAGTTTAGCCATCATGTATTTTCATTAATACAGAAATTTCCCATCTAACCTGTTTCCAGATTTTATCATGTTTTGTTCCAGTCCTGCATTTTCTGTATTTAAATTTCTGTTTGATGGCAATAAACAATGAACCTTGTCTCTAGGCATGTGCAATTTGGCATATACATTGAACATAGCACACAGAAGATTTCTGTATAAGTGATTTAATATGTATTAAAATTATATATATGACAGTATGAGACTTTCGGATTCTGTCTTGACAGCTGTAATATAGTGATAATGAAAACTAGTGGAAACTGTAAAAAAATTATATCATTATATTGTATGATTACTATTTCATAACTTCATAACTTAATTCTTTTTCTGGAACGTGTGTGCATTTGTTACCACCACTTAACTGTTAATTAGATTCCTTGAGTTTGATGTATTTTCTGTTCATTGGTAGATTACATTATGTTAGTTCAAATTCTTTAGATTGTCTCATAATGGTTACATTTTTATGAAACATATTGTCGTGTGTGATGTGATAGACTGTATAATAAGTTCCTTATTTCTGTTCATCATTTGTGCTTGTATTTTTCTTCATCACTGGAGAAAGAAATTAAATGTTTTTAAGCAATCTGGATCTTCAGCAGAGGGTGAAGTGAGGCTGGTAACGGTTTGAATATCTGTTCATACAGCTTTATCCAGTTGAAGTGTTGTTGTACAGGGCTCATCCCAGTGAAGGTGGGGATGGCAGTAGTGTTGTGCGTGAGACATGGTTCCTTCTTCTGATTGGTGGAACGGTGCTGACCTTAGTTCTGGGTTTTGTTGGCATGCTGTATTTACGGAGACGTCAGGCTCTCAGCAAGGAGCTGGGGCATCTTAATGGTGTGTATAATCCAGTGGACATGACACCACTTTATAATGCACTAGACCTGAGAATGAGGAGACAGAAATTTGGTGTGACATGTTACCACAACGTTTATACCCATAGTCCATTCTTTAAAGTGTTAAGAATATTATGTGATGTATGACATCGAATACTTATTCATTTTGATAGACTGAAGAATGGTTGTAAATAAAAATGGTGATATATCAGAAAACAGGCTTACCATGAAAATTATGTGGGGTGTTAGAAGATACAAATATGACTAGAGATTGAAGTGTGAGGTTAAGTCTGACTAGTCTGAAGTAGTGGAACGCTTTACTGATCATAATTATGCACAAATACATTGCTGTATTGTATAATTATTAGTAATAATATGTGCTAGCCTCTATGCTATGAACCATTCAAAATAAAATTCTTGTCACAACTTCTTACTCACATTGCCAGTATTGTTCATACTGCAAAATCTGTGCCTCTATTCTGATGTGAAAATAAGGGCTTATTTCTGGTGATTTTTCAGTTCCTGTAGTAAATGCGAATGACATATCACAACTAAACCTGATGAATGGGAAAGAGACACTATGGATTGATAGAGGGTGGCGGCCCGCTAATGAGGACTCCAGTGGGATCTGTGTAGAGACCAAGTTGCTCAACAACCAGGCAACAAATCAGGACCTAAATTCTTCTGCTACAGACTATGCTGAGGTGGACACAAGAAATCTTACCACATTTTACAGCAACTGCAGGACAAAGGAACCAGATATTCCAGCACCATATGCCACTACAACACTTATTAACTCCATGCATAGAAGAGACAACATGGTATGTTTCTTTAAGTTGGTTATTTGATTATTAAGATTATACATCATCTGTAATATGATTGTTAATGAATACAGAGTAGTTGTTGGAATTAAAATTGGCAGTGGAGACTTAATATGCCAAGAAAATCTGCCCCAGTGCCAAATTTTTCACCACAAATCCCACATGATCCGACTTGGCTCAAGCCTGTTCTATTACAATGTCATAGATCATTATCAATACACATAAAAAGTACTATTACAATGTCATAGATATAAAATATTATATCCTTTAACAATTATTATGATGTGCATGGATTTGTGAAAACATTTGTAAATTATTATAATTAATCTATTTACAAAGTAATGTTTGAAAAACTTTCTAATAAGTTTCTGAAGTTTCTGCGGTGTTCCTTTTGGGTAAGTTTGGATATAGCTGTGTTTTGTGGTGGTTCATATTAAGTGTTTTGGCACTATTATGATATGATGTTGGTTGTATTACTGGACTATAAAGAAGAATGCAAAACATTCAGCATTAAATATGATATATTTTTGTCATGTATATTTATTTCTACCACCTTACTGCAGTAATTTCATTAGGTTTTTCTTTGTAGGATAACAGTCACCTATTTGTACCCATTGCCATGGGTGCCCCAGGAGGGGGTGAAGCCAAGACATCAAGCTCAAGTGATTCATGTGTAAAGCCAGATCTCTCAAGTTTGGATACAAACCCAGAACTTGGGAACAAATCAAGTAGTAGCCCAAGCTCAGAGATAGGAAGTGTATATATAGGTGAGAATAAATATCCATGCCATATTCTTACTACCTAGTGTACATGAACTTTTGACTTCATTATATATGTTTAAATGATACAGGTGGTCTCCTGGTATGGATCTGTATCATATTCACTCCTGATGTTAGTTTGTGTTCCAGATGACAGCGGTTTGCCTATGAGACGTGTACAACCAGCATCAGTGGCAGGATGCCGCAAATTCTCTGCTCCTTCCCACACTGCCGTTAACAGTGGTGGGGGACAGCAAGCCCAGGGGCAGACTGCATTGCCCAATTGGGCTGAGTTTCTACCCCCACCACCTGAGCATCCCCCACCATCTGCAGCTAGCAGTGACAGTAACCCTAGCAGTAGACTACTTGTACCAGTGAGTGTTATATGAAAGTTTTATATAATACTTTATACTTCTTATGTTGTCACAATTGAAAATTACCAGAAGTTATATGCCAATTTTCACTGTAATGTTTCATGTAGGAATGCAGCCACAATGTATGTGGTAAAATACATATACCATATGTAACAACTACATGTAATGTGTGTTTATTTTTATGTTAACACATTAACAAGGAATACAGCTGTAAGCTCAGTGTGTGTTCTTCAAGAGAAAATTTTAGCCTTCTCATGGTGTACATAAAATGTATACAGAAGTATGCAGTCTACACAACAATATTTTGTAATGAAAACAAAGTAGACACTATCGTATCAACATTTGCTTTTATTGACGCTACTTGTTTCGACCCGTGTACTGGGTCATCATCAGGCGTACAATGATACCAGACTCAGTTGTTGAATTGCATCTAACAATTTACATCTAATTCTTCAATAAGGATCCTTATTGTGCACTTGAGAGTTCTTAAATGCATAAATTATTTCTTTCGGTTAAAATATTAAGTACTCAGGTAATGAAAATTAAAGAATTAGAGACTAAAGGTTAAAACAAAAATTAAAATTGTGCTACAATGGAAGTGAAGTATTTTGCAATAAGTCTTGTTAAAACTTCATGACCACTACGTGTTTATGTGATTTTCTGGTGGTAGAAGCGACTGTAATGTGGATCACCTGTGTATTGGGATCTTCTCACATACGTTAGGTCTTGACTTTACTATTGTCTTGTGGAGCTAATACTTGTTATTCTGTATGTCACCCAACAGGTTGTATATTTGGAGTGATCTGTAACAGTTTTTTAATTATTATGAGGAGAAGCTTTTGAATGTGTTGCTATTAAACTTATTATTAAGTTATTAAGTATATGTACTTACATATATTGGATTTTCTTGTGATGATGTGTGTACGGGCTGCTCCCTGTGTTGATGCTGTCGCTATGTTTTATCAGTTTGGTCTAGACTACTCGTTTGCGGGGTATCTGTATATATGGATTTGTGTGAATAGAGTCAAGTGGTATGAGATAGTGGGAGGATAATGTGAGTGGTTGAAGAGATGGGGAAGGGGTGGGGTTATTTGGTGTGTGTGTGTGTTTTTACTAGAATGTCAAATATGGGGGTTACGCACATCTGTAAATATATCGTTCATCTGTAGACCTTTCTTCATTATGTCTCATATATCTATATCATCTTTCTATGTGTTGAGTTTAGGTCCCTGTAGACTGCATACTTTTGTATATATTTTATGTACCTTGTTTATGACACACAGCAGGATGCATACTATTAAGATTCTCATGGTGTATTACTATTTGATGAAGATAAAATATGGTAGTCAAGAAAAAACGCAGATAAGTAACCAATGCCAAATATGAAAGTCTTCAAACTACCAGAGTTCTGTGTTTTATTCTGCACAGTTCATGGTCACCTAAAAGTCTGTACTGTAATTCTTACAACAAATGCAAATATAATATACTGCCTGATGTTTCATATTATTCTATCTTTACTCACAGAAAGCAGATATTCTAATATTATTTGCCTTCCTTCTGCTGGTCTTTGTTCTCCCAAACAGAAATGTAATAATTAAATACATTAACTAATTTGATACTGCAACTTTATGCAGTAATACAGAATGTATGAGCTACCATATGCACAGCTTTAGAGTGCAACAGATCAACCCCCCCCCCCCTCCGGCAAGGGTTTCACAAATTTTCCAGTGCTTTGGGAAGTGCAACAGTCATTTGTATAGTATTTTCATCTTGAATGTATTTAAGCAAATACCTTGTGATCTCTAAGCATTATGTAGTTAAAATACCATGAAAGTGTTGTTACAGTAATGCATATCCTTTTTACAATATTATATTTAAGCATCCTGTTGCACTCCATACGATAAATGATATAATGATGATACAAATTCCGTCCCAAGTGCAAACAATATAGTGTGACATGTTGTGCAAAGCCGAGCCCCCCCCACCAGCAGTGACGCGGTGGGTGAGTCAGCGCTCCCCTCCCACCCCTCAGCGGTAACGTAACGCTCGCGTAATAGGCGAGTAATCACCCCGCATCCTGGCAGCTATGCGCGGTGACGTCACGAGCGGAGCCGAAGAGAGCCGAGCGGAGCCGAAAATAGCCGAGCCCCCGCAACCTGGTAACTATGCAAGGCGAGTCAACAGCGGTGACGTAACAGGATGACGTGGCACTCATTACGCAACTGGCAAGCACTGCAGCTATATAAGTAAGCTGCACAGCTGGTACCAGTCAGTTCTAATGTGGCTACCGCAGAGTTCTACTGTAGCAGTCGGCGACTTGATTTGTACTGTGACAGCCACCGAGTTATAACATGGCCATCGCCGAAGATAGTTCCGAGCAAGCCTACGAGTGTGTGTTATCAACAGTTCTCCAGTCAGCCGACTACAGTTGGAGTATAGCAGCCGTCGCGGAAAGAAGAACCGGACGTGTGTGCGATTGTGTAATTGGGAGCGTGTGATACCGCGATACATAGCTCCCCTACTGTAAACGTGTAGACTACTGAAGACAGAGTGAACTGATTTGCGCATAGGGTTATAAGTCGTGAAACCCCGCAACAGTGTTAACAGATTAATGCGCTCAGGGTTATAAAGTGTGAAACCCCGCAACTGTGTGATAAGTAATTGTAGCCGTTATTTGTAGATTGTTAAATAAACCAATTAACCATCTCTACGGCGTCTTCGGTAACGTAAACACGTTACAATATTATGTGTCCTAAAGGAACAAGATCAAGGACACATAATATATTGTTTGCACTTGGGACGGAATTTGTATCATTTATGCATATCCTTATTATGCAAATCCAAGATAACCCATGGTTCTTCAAGTGGTTTAAGAGTAAGAGTTACATATGCTTTAGATCCAAGCAAATATGGTAATATATGTAGAAAATAGTAACCGCCCACTGCAAAGCCTTTCATATTTTTGTTGCAGTTAGCAAATTCCAATCCCAATCCAGGTAATGCTAGTAACAGAGGAGTTTCTCCAAATTTTCAGCCCAGTGGGCAGGGGTTCAACCCCAACAGTCCACTCCTGGGGAAACGCAGCAGTTGCTCTAGAGAGGGCACCCCTTTGTGTCACACAATTCATTCTGCAGGAGAGAGTACGACTGGTATGTAAGACCTTGGCCATTTCCATTGCAGGATACATTTCAAAGCTGTGATAATAAACAGATTATTTCCATAAGTTTGTTATTCTTCATATGTCTCTTTTTGTTAACAAATTAAAATAAGTTTTACTTAAGTGTTGTAATTTTCATTGGTATTGTTATTAAGAGAACTATAAACAATATTTTCTGGATAAATTTCTTAGCATATACTTGTATTAATTCCAGTAACATCATAGATGTTACATTTATGCAGGTTGAGTGTCAGTTCCCGTCCTTTGACATATGCTCACATACCATGCATAGGTGTTTGTTTCAGTTTAGAATATGCAGTTTAACCAGGATACCTTTTATATTCATATTCTCTATAGTTAGCCTTGCATTTTTGAGTGCAAAATGAATTCCCCATTTGGGGTTATCATGTCTTGAGATACATACAGGAGTGAATGTATCAATAGACTGTTTCCAAACAAGAGAAGGTGAGGGCATATGAGAGGTGAAGGTATAGGAACCTTGGTACTAGAAGTGAAGTGAATAGTCACTTTAATGGTTTACTTCCCCCCCCCCCATGCAGAAGCCCCTGCTGTTTGTTGGGCAGAAGACTAGGTAGGTATGGTAACTTGGCCTCGTTTTATCAGAATTTGTGTCCTCTGGAAATATTGTGGTACAGCATTCAAATCTCCATACACGGAGATCCCTGACCACCACTTCATGACTGTAGGGTTCCTGTCCCAATTTTCCTACCCAGGTCATTGGCCATGGTGGTAATGCATCTGCTTAGCATCAGAAAGTACCCAGTTCAGATTTGCAGTCTGATATTTTGTTCTTTGTATGAATTCCTCCAATATGTTCATTAAAATGCTAGATTAGTATCTCCCAAATAGGTCACAGTCACTTCCTCCTTCACTCGTCCTTTCCCATTCAACAACACTCAGTGGTAAGCAGTTCATGTATTTCTAAAGTAAATGAATAAAGTGACCATACAGTCTTATCATCTGGGGTAATTTAAACTAGTTGCAGTGTTTGTTGAAGAAATTATTAAAAGAGGGAATCCTTTATGTTAAGTTGTATAATTCAAAATTGAAGCTGGATATTTGAGTGGGATGGTCCAGTAGTAATGCTCTAGTCTTGTATTCAAGATATGTTGAATTGGAATTACAGTTCAGTCCATCAAGGTAAATGCCAGGGTATTACCTTGGTTAGGCCATGTTTGCTTCTTTCTAAATCCTTTCCTAGTCACCATTCATCTATCCTTTCATTCAGCACTCCATACTCTCCATCTCTTGTTTGAACACTATGTACATCATAATTTGTGGGCGCAGCATTATGGAAGAAAAGTCCTGTAAGTTCAACAGAATCTCTCAACATGACACGAGTAGGGATCATTGTATATTGTAGGTTGCACAATTTAATTCATGAAGTCCATAATTTGTTGTTAACACTTATTATTTCTCTTCACAACCTGCAAGTAACTACGGCACATTCAAGCCTTTGCAGTCTGCCATGTTGTCACATACCTGTTGCTTGATAATACCCTCTTGTAATGGGGACTGCTGTAATGTTTATGTGCTCAAAGTCTGGCTCTGGCTCCTGCTGGCTCTCTTAATATAGCTTTGTTGTGGATCAGTGGGATTTACAAATCATTACATAGCAGGACATTTCTGGGATGTGTCAGTGACTCCAGAGTTGTTTTTTGGCATCTTGTCACAGTGTTTATATATGTAAATAATGATGTCGCACACTGCCTTACAATAAAGAATCTCTCACAAAAGTGCATCTGTAATAAGTTAACATGGGCAGTAGAACAATGTCTGAGTTATTCCTTTTAATTACCTTTAAATATAAAACACTTTTTGGAACCTTTACTGTTTCATTTATATATGAATGACTTGCCAAATACTGTAGACAGCAAATTGAAACCTGTCCTTATTGCAGATGATACTAGCATAAGTATATTAATTCCCGCCCTGTAAATTATGATAATATTACTGAAACTTTCAAAGAAATAAATGACTGGTTTGAAGCTAATTTATTGGCACTAAATCTTGATAAGACTTATTTTATACATTTTACAACTAAGAATAGCCAGAGAATGGATATACACAATGTCCGTGGCAACAATCAGCTTGCCAAGTCTACCAACACCAGATTTCTTGGATTAATTATTGTCAATATGTTGTCATGGAAAGAACACACTGACTGGCTCATGACTAAATTTAGCTGTACCTGTTATACAGTCAGGACCATAAAGCCTTGTATGTCACAGGAAACAATGAAGATTATTTATTTCTCATACTTTCATTCTGTAATGACCTATGGTTTAATCTTCTGGGGAAGTCTCCCCAAAGTATTCTTATTTTTAGGATCCATGAAAGGATAATTAAAATCATCACTAATTCTAGGAAAAGCAACTCTTGTAGGGAATTGTTTAGAAAACTGAAATTTTGCCCCTCCAATCAAAGTATATATTTTCTTGCTTGTTATTTATGGCCGAAAACAGAGAACAATTGAAACTAACACTCAGATCCTGAGCATTAATACAAGACACAATAATAACCTTCACTATCGTACATGCAATTTGTCAGCATTCCATAAAGGAACATATTATTTTGGTATCAAGTTTTTTAAAAGCCTCCCTCCTTGCATAAGAACATAGCTCATGATATTAAACAATTTAAATTATCTTTAAAATATTTCTACTCCTAAATTCATTTTACTCACTGGAGGAGTATTTTAACCACAATATTGATTAAAGATCCTGGTTCACTGCACTCTTAATGAATGGCAGTATATTCATATTGTGTATATATTAACAGTCTTCAGGTGCATACAATCCCATCTATCACTTCTGCCATCTTCAGGTGTATCGATCCGTCAACCATTTCACTGCTTGCCTTTATATGTCCATTTACAAGTAATATTAAATTTGTATATGTCCTTATATAATAATAAAGTGTATGTATTTAAAAACTTGTTAAAACCTATTATCTCATACATCATATTTTTAAATTCGTGTGTATTATTGATCGTCCACTTGGGGGTCGTTCTTCTTATGTTTCTAATGTTGTCTGTATATTATGTCTTGTGATGTGTTCTACTCTTGTGGCTGCGTGCGTTGTATCGTTGGATCCAACACAAGTAAAATTTTGAAAGGAAATGAGAATGGATCAGTACTGTGAAATACATTTAAACATATAGAAGAGTATGGCACCTAAAACAAATTGATACAGTAAGTCCAATGTAATGAATACAGCCTATAATGAGTTAACTTTTATGTATAATCAGTATCATAGTGACTTTCTGATGAATTATAAGAGCCTACATAACAAACTGATGAGGACGTACCTGTGTTCAGTTATTACATCTACATTAGTATAAGATGCTGATGGTATCATTATGTAACCAACAGACACACAATTCATGTATGTCGTTTTTAATGGGTATATTATAAGTTGCATGAGGAATGTGTAATAAAAAGTCCAGAAGAAAAAACTGTTTGCAAAATGGCTGTTACATTGCAGGGCCCACACCCCCTCTCCCTCCAGTACGAGGAGGCAGTAGTTGTGGGAGCAATAATTGTTATTCAACTGGCTGGGTGCCAGGAAATGGTGCTGGTGGCGACGCTACACTCTACAACAATTACGGAGGTGACGGCTGTGGTGCTAACTCTGGCCGCTATGCTCTGCTGCCACCTCAGCAACATCCTCCCCCGGTTAGCATCCTGTAGCAGAGTTGCATGTTATGCTAGAATTTTAACATCATTTTCTGATTTTCCCACTAGGTTTTGTAACCAAAATATTTTATCCGTGGCCCTACTCAAGCATGCTACATGTCCCACACATTGTGTGTTCCTTCTTATTCATTCCCAGTTCCTGATGATGTTTGCATTGTTATTTTATAATCCTTTAAACATAAAAGCATGAAATTAATTTAAATCAAACAGTAAGCCTTCATTATCCAGAGTAATTGCAGGGAAGATTAAGCAATAATCTGGATTAGTGAAGCAGAAGGTAGCCCTAAGAGACAAGAAAAGTCAGAACAGAAATACATGAAAAAGTTAATGATATAAGTACGTGTAGTGCTGATGAAAATAAACAAAAAGAATATCATTGTAGAGCCTTTATTTAAACACTGTAAGAAGACAGTTCATTTATTCATTGATAGAAGACCCAGAAGTTATACTTGTTTATGAATCTAATAATGCAGGTTTGATGAAACTGTCAAGTTTTGTCTGAACGGACAACTGACTGATCTGTACTTGTTTATGAATCTAATAATGCAGGTTTGATGAAACTGTCAAGTTTTGTCTGAACAGACAACTGACTGATCTGCCATCCTGAATGCCATGTGTGTACTAAACTGTGAACAGCTCTTATTATTTTGATCTGGATTAACTGTTACTGAATTATTAAGGGTTTACTCTATTTGAAAATCCATTTCCGAACTCATGGGAAACACTTCATGTACGTTGCAAAGAATAGTCAGTTATTTCTGTTTATGGAAATAATCATGGATGAATACATTTATGGACAAAATGCAGCATTCGTGATGTTACAGCATATGTTGAATAAGGTATTCCGTGGCTGTTATGCCTCATCCCCATATTCATCAGTCATGCTCATTCTGTTGACTGAGATACGTGTGACATACATGACATTATAAGCGTTGGATCTGTTGTCATTTTCTTGTGGCATCAACTTAAATTGAACCTGAGTCTCTCTGAATATTAATCTTTTATGCCAACCATTAGATTGGTGTGTGCCATGAAGCCACTTCTATTTTGGGGAAGATGTACTGGTTGTATTGCTTATATGACATTCTGAGCTCAGCATTCTCACACTCAGGGCAGACTGGTATCACCTTTAGCAAATGAAGTAGCAAGTGAGACTGCAGCGCTCTTAATCAAGGTTGTTTTAAGTTTCACAGAACATGGTGCACCTGGTAGTGTGGGAAGTAATGATAGCAGAAATTCCAACTTTGCCCCCTTTTGAGAAGACTTTGATTAGTTGTTATGTCTGTTAAGAAGCTTTCATCAGATGATTTGTGAATCAAGATATGAAACATGAGACCATTCTTACAACAAAAGCACATATATTTCAAATAACAAATTGAGCGATAGATTTGTTTTGTATTAACTTTGGAAAGAATACTAAACTAACTTTATCAGTGGGTTGTAAATGATTGACAGTAGACAGTCATAAGCTGCAGACAGTATTTTTACACAGGAGGTACTAGGAGACAGAGCAATTAAGAATTAGCAATGAGTAAGGAAGGAACTTGGACAGGAGGACAGATACAAACACCCAGACAGCATGGTGAAAAGAACAATGAAGTGTATGTTTCTGTAATATATATAGTAAACATATAAGAAATATTCTAAACTCTAGTGAACCTGTATGTACACTTAGTAATGAAGGAAAGGCAATGTGCCTTATTGCCCTGGTACCTAACAAATGATTAATTTCTGGGTTAAGTTCCATTTGTTGCCAGAAGAAACAGAAAAACAAAAAATGCAATAACAAGAGAATAAAAAATCAGCTGAAGAATGCAGCCCTCTAAACTCCTGAAATGTTTTCTGAATAAAATATAGTTCAGAGAATGGACATTGTAAAACATTCTATAAAAATGTAAGAAAATTTTCTGAAACGAGTTATAGACCTGTGGGAACTGCCCACATTCAAGCAAGTGTGACAACGCAAGCGTCATTGCTTAGCAACGACAAGTAAACAACGGTTGCTAGGCAGAAGCGAGTAAACAGCGGTTGCTGAGCAATGACGCTTGCGTTGTCACACTTGCTTGAATGTGGGCAGTTCCCACATCCCCTAAGAAAGGAATGCTTTTGTGGAGTTTAAGGTAATTTCATGGTATTCTTTTCCAGGTACCCAGCTTCCCTTTAGGTTTTGGAAGTAGTGCCACCTCAACTGGGGGGAGCAGCAACCCTAGTGTACACTCGAATCTGTATCAGCCATATACTGCACAACAGCAGCAGCAAGGGCAACAGGGATGCCAGCGTATCTTTGGTGATAATGAGTACCAGCAAAACTGTCCAACACAGTTGCAGATTGCAGGTAAATATCTTGTGTTTCACTCTCTTTAGAAACAATGAAAACAGCATAAATTAAAACTTAGGTAAACCAAGCAGGTGAGTATGCCAGCAAATGACTCTACAACATACAGTGAAAAACAAAACAGAAACAAAATTCTTTAAAATGTATAGGATGTGTAAAATTCTTCTAAATGATGCATTTTGGAAGACCGGAAATTTTCTGCATAAAGGCTTAGTCTGATTTCGATTTCCTCATTAGACAGTTTCCATTTAATCCAGGATGTTTAACATCTTTTTCATCCCCAAAATCACAGGACCTGAAAATATTTCCATTTTAGTCAAATTCCTTTTAATAAATGGTCTGCTTAAGTCAGGGTTTACTATATTACAATTTGACAGCATGCTAGTAAAATTACTGACTCAGCACTTGTACATGATTTAATCTTTTTCTGCCATGATTTTGACAGTGGCATAGCTTGCTTCTTGAGCCTTCTCAGAAATAGTTGTGACTTTGGTCCACTGTTTAGCCTGGCATGAGTGATTAGCTATAAACCTTTTAAAATATTAATTTGGTTTCTTTCATAAATATGAGTGCTTTGCATGAAGGTGTCTTTTCAGCTTACTTGGAACCATAGCATCCTTCCCCAGTTTCTCACCACAAACAATATACTTAGGACGTGGTTATTCTTTTCCGGGCAAAATGAATCCAGATGACAAGTATTCTTAATTATATTGACACACAGTGGTTTTAGAACTAACACTAACTGTACTGTGTGTGAAACTGCCACAACTAGTGCCAGCCACACTTGATGCATTGTCATCATCTAACTTACATTTTTTAATTATGAATCTGTCCTTGTCCAATAAGCCCTAAAAAGTAAAAATGGTCTTCATTCATAAAAAACTAAAACAAAATAGAAGTAAAAAAATGCAATAGCACAAACTCACACAGAATAATACACCCAGTCTGAACAACAGCTGACTTAAAACTGACACTGGTGGCTTGACAAGGGTGAATGGTGGGGTGGTAATAGTAGATTGGAGAGTTGTTTTGGTATCAGGAACATTAGGGACAGAAATATTTTACCTCCATAACTTTTTGTTACACTGGTATTGTTTTAATTTTTATCAACCTTTTATGAAAAATATACATTACTTCTAAGTTACCTTAATTTTTTATTCATAAGTTTTTTCTTGCTTGTTTTTGACCTTCCCCCAAACTCTTGTGGCACACCTGCTTTACCTTCACAGGACACTGGTTGAAAGTCGCTGGTCAGGAGACTCTTTAAGTTGGAAATTTATCATTCACCATGCCATTTACTGGCTTAACAGTCATTAGGAAGTATTCTCATTGCAGTGTATGAGTACAGATAAGGTACTCTTCAGTATATTGAAATCGCCGTATAATATTCAATTTCAATTTAATGTTTTCCCCATTTAATGTTCGTTTGCAGTCATCTCAAGTCAGTATTCTCAGCATTAGCTTCTTTCCATTAGTGAAAGCAGAATGCTAGAAAAATATCAAACTTAGAAATTAATCAGAGGTAGTAATGAATTAAAAATCCTGCAGATTATATGATCTTTTGTTTCTTGAGATTGTATTTTGTTGTCATATTCTTTTTCAGGTGAGTTGAAGCAACATGTAGGTTACAGTGCAATGGATCGGGGGATTCAGTCATCACTTCCAAGCCTGGCAGGTGAATCATTAGCTGCCAGGCTACACCTGCAGGGGGTGCCTGTGGATTTGGGTGAATATAACATACTAATGTTTAGGACCATCTGTGAAAGGATAACATAAAATTTTGAATCTAAGGATTTGAGCATGTTGGTTAGTGAGAGACTGACTGATAACTGCATTTCACTTCTTGATATATCAGTGCAAACTAATAAAGACTACAGACTGCTATGTTGATTAAGACAGATAAACAGATTGATTTCCTTCTACAGATGTGAAAAGCTGGGTATGTACTTTGTAGGTCCAAATGGTGAATGGGATGCTGCTGACTCCAGTAGTGACTGTGAGCATAGGTGGCGCAGCCCTGGTGGTGGTGTGGGTGGTGGGGAAGGCTCGACAACAGCAGGATCCTGGGATGATGATCATGCGAGTTGTTCAAGTGGTGATGCTAGTGACACCTGCTGCTCTTGTAGTGAATCAAGTTGCCTTTATGCTGACACAGCAGAAGTGATGGCACAACAAGCACAGGTTAGTTTGAGCTGGAACAGTTTCTCTTCACTGCACAGCAAAAAGTCAATCTAGAGTTCCCACATTGTGTGTAACCCAGTATTTAGTGTTTTTATTTCTGCTCCCCTGTGGACCCCTATGCAATATAAGCAATGTATTATTTAATGGTCTTCAGTTTAGTAGGTCACTCACATTAGTGTAAGAAATTTTGTTCTTGGCTGAAGTTCTTTAATCACTTGTTTCATATGTTACCAATTATGTTTTAAATTAATAAGATATTTATTATGTAACTGTAGAATAGTTGGTTGAGGCACTGTGCTGCAAGCCAGAAAGTCATGGGTTCGTTTCCCAGTGAGGTCATTGGAGTTCTCAATAACCAAAGCCTTCCAGCCACACAATTGTCATGGGGTTGACTCAGACTTTAACAGAAATGAGTACCAGGAATCATTCTGGGGCTAAAGGGCAGCTGGCACTTAAAGCTGACGACCTCACTGCCATCTGTGAGGTGGTTGTCTAGCAAATGTGGGAGCCTGGACATGTCATAATCCTATGGGCCTCCACAGCCCGTTACAAGGATAGCTTTACCTTTAGTTGTTTTGTGTATATGTGAGCATGCATATGCATATAAATAATTTTTAACTCAGTATACTCTAATTATGTGTGATGCCAGAAAGAAGATTCATTGTTACTCAGGAAAAACACAGATCAACTGGTATCCTTTGGGTATGATTGAGACATCATGGCTACTGTTGAGTATAGAAGTTTGCATAGTACCAGATTTGTTTATTCTTCACTCTGATAAATAGTTGGCAGGATACATGCAGAAAGATGTGTTAGTCTTCATGTAAACTGGTTATTACATTTTCTAATGTATGAGTAAATAAAATTTTAAATGGCCTGATAGTTGATTGATTGATTGATTTATTTAACATCCATAACTGTTACATTATGTTTTGTAAAAATTTTCATTATCAAATTTCATGAAAATCTTTGCAGCTGCTCTTTCATGTGTAGGCAAACAGATGAATATACTGAACATCTTAACAACAACTAAAGCATGTGGATAATCCACAAACTGGATGGTCCGCACATAGATAATTTGGAATATCCTGTACTTGGAGAGACATTTTATCATAATTATATTGAAGCCTTATAAGAAGACGCCAGTTTCTTGATATAAATTTGCATAACTCAGAAACCCTTGATTTAGTATAAGAAAAAATGTTTCCCTGGATATTCATTAAATAGGAATTTTACTGAATCTAAACAACAGAGCAGTTGGGGCACAGTAAGGGGCACTGTAAATGTTCATCAGCTTGGCAAACAGTAACATGTGGTCAGTTTTACAGCTGTGAAGACATCGCAGATTCCATTATGCTAGGGCTTATGGTGTAGTGTTGTAAAACTTTCTTTTATTTGTGACATGTGTAGCAGAGTTGCTCACACTTGGGAAATAACCGTCGACATCCTCGGCGCCCTTACCACCAACGAAACAGTGGAAATGGGCCAGTGGCCTGTGGCCGGCCAGTGTCTCCTTCTTACAGCACAGATTCAAACTATAGCTGTGCACGACCACCTCATGCCAGACCTCCTGTTCATAGAGTGCAGCACCAAAGAGGAGAACGAAGTTCCCTCAACCAAACACATAGAGGTATGAGCCATCTTGCTAATAGAATATAATGCATGTACATGCATGTATGTAAGCTCTTCAAAGAGGAGTGTCAGCATGATTATGTTCAGTGGAGATGCCGTGACCTGTGATGGTTGAGTCAGAAAGTGACTGAATGGTTGCACAGATTTTGTTTCATATGGAATACCTCCTTGAGATGATAATGCTATACACATGTTCTTTGCTGTTTCACTATTTATGTCTAAAACAGTTGGTTGTCTTATTATATCTCGGACAACACAGGGATTTTCATGAATCTAGTATGAGGTACACCATATCATGAGTGTAGTAGTAAGTACTATGGCAAATTTTATAAACGCGTTGCCAGGCAACATCTCTATACACACATGCAACAGTAGAGCAAGCTGGCGCAGTAGCGGTGACGTCACATAGCAACAGTAGGTAGCTGTCACGTGACATGCGTGTCCTGCATGTCCATTAGCTTGCATGTGTGTGGTGACATCACAGAACAACAGTGGGTAGGGGCCATGTGATATGTGTTTACTGTTCGTCAGTGTCGGTCCCTCAGCCATATAAGCGAGCAGAGTTCCTAAGGTGGCAGTTACGAGAGGAATAGTCATGGCGGAAGCACACAAGTGAGCAAATTGGAACTAGTAAGTGAGTTTTGAGTTCTGATTTCTTGGTAGGAGACAGCCACAGGAAATTTGTATTTGAAGAAGAGTTAACTTGTGAATTGAATTTACTTTTTGTGTCAATACTAAACTTTTTAACTTCCCACAGATTCTTCCTGGAGGTCTGCACTCACATTTGTCCCTGTCATTGGCATTAAAGGATCTAATTCCTCAGATATATTCAAGTTCATTTATGTTCCTCCAATGATCCCAAGAAGCTGAGCTATGTTGCTCCTGTCATTGTTGTCATGAGTTTATGAAAGAAAAGCACTGGAAATTAGTGGCTGTCACTTTAAAATTTCTGCAGTGTTGTTTGCAAGTGCATCACTTCTTATAATGACAAACCTTGACGTACAAATTTGAGAAGAAATTGGTATGTTTTATTTATCAGGAATGAAACATCTCTAACTGCCTACTTTTTTTTTCTTTTCCTTGGCACTACAGCCCCAGTGGGCCTAGGCCTACCTCCATGAACTCCGTTCACTTCGGTTTTTCTAGATCTTACACATACGGTAGGACTCCTTGGGTGAGTGATCAGCTCATCGCAAGGCCTCTACCTGTAGACAAACACAGAAAGACGCACACAAACATCCATGCCCTGAGTGGGATTCGAACCCATGATCCCGGCTTCTGAGCGAGCAAAGACAGTGCATGCCTCAGACCGCTCGGCTACCGTGACCGGCCTAACTGCCTCCTAGCATTCCATTAATATTTCCCTATTACTAAAAGGTTGAATCTCTTTGTGCCGAAGTATCAGAAACCATACAACTGGTACACCCTGCAGTGTCTTGAGGGTACTGTGCTCTTTTGATCTGTTTTGCTGCTGAGTATCTTTTGAAGCAGAGTTAATTTGTCACTCCCTAACGGACTTTGTATCCTAATTAGTTATCATGTTGAGTCATGATGTCTTTTAATGTTTTATTCTTTGGAAACACAGATGCATTAATGTAACAAAACAAACAGTGGTCACTATCTTAATAGAAATAAAGAAATGCTCTTCTGTCCACTTTCTTTGAAATGCAGAATTTTCTTAACATTTTTGTCAAATAAGAGGATATATATATATATATTTGACCTTTATCTGTCACCAATAAAGAACATAAATATATGCTGAACTTTTGAACTGCACAGTTTTGCATACATTACTGCTGAACTGATTATAATCAGTAATGTATGCAAAACTGTGCAGGCCTACAAAAAAAAATTTTTTTTTGGTGTCTAGGATTTTAGAANATGCATGTTGTCATGGGTCTTTCGTATGGTATATTGTTGACAGACAACCTAATGCGTGTTATCCACTGTTGTAGAATTTGTAAATACATGTGGAATTTTTGCTGTATAGGTAAATACTTTTTTGCTAACTACTTATCTATTGCTTTTGTGAAGGCATTTCTTAAATGTTTGATTTGAAGTTCCCACAGCAGAGACAGTGAAGAGAACTGTCTTCTAGGATGTATCATATAATCCAGAGTATTATTTTTTTATTGCTAGTGGGGTGGGACTAAGTCCCTTGTACTGCGGCCACTTCTGGCCTATTGTACCAGCCCAAGATGATAGGTGAAGGTGATTGTGGAGCAATTGGTGGAATGGAGATTGGCAAGGGAAACCGAAGTACTCAGAGAAAACCCATCCCAGCGCCACTTTGTCCACCACAAATCCCACTTGAGTGGACCCGGGACCGAACCCAGGCTGCCGCGGTGGGAAGCCAATGAGTAACCACTTTAGCTATGGCACGGCCCTAATCCAGTGTAAGTCCACTCACAATTTTGATCAACATACTGTCTCCATATTCAGGGCTGGAGTTCAAGGTGACTGTCTGCATTCCTTACTGCCCTTTGTTAGATCCTGATTTCCCCCAAATTGCATGCTGTGCTTGCTGCCTGCCTTTTGCTGGTTTCTTGCATGGCTTACTCCAACTGTGAAGATGGAAGCAGTATGTTCCAAAATATGAGTTGAATTCTACTGGTCTACGTGGCATTGCATTCCAGAAGATAGTACTCTTCATTTCTTCAGTATTTCCTTATATTCAAAGAATTACTTCCAAATGAAATCAATGACAATATGCCATAGAAATCACAAAATGAGAACAGTTAACATCCTATATCCAATTATCTCTTAAGTTTGGTGTTTCATAAGTAAGAAAGTTCCTTGTGACTTGTGGTTATTCTATTATGGATCTATGCAGTAAGTAATGCGTACATTGTTGTGTTTCCTGCACACAGATGACACTCCAGCATATGCCAAACCCAACTACCCCACCTCCCAGTCTTCTTGCAACAACACCTTGAGTAACTCAAGCCAGCGCCATGACACACTAACCGGGAGTGGGAATGCTTTCGCAGATGGTGGTGGTTGCACCACATCCAGCTCCAGTCCGGGTGAAACAAGTGACACTCATACTCTCCACGGCAGTGCTATCACTACCCCAAACCCAGTGCGATAGGAAACTAACTTTTTAAATTGTTTTATGCATAAGATCTCAGTGGTCATATTATGCTGAAATATTTTGCCAGTAAGAGATGAATAATCACTTACGCAGCCAAAATATGAGGTTAAATGGACATACATAACAGTGATTGTCATTTTACTACATACCTTGTAAGCATTTTGGACTGTTAGGCCCATTAAGTGGCCTTCAATAATGCTCCTTTTTCCTGTCATTGTCATTGTCATATAAAACAATATTCATGACACTTTTTCAGTTTTGAAATTTGGCATCTTTCATGACCTATATCTTAATTTGAAAAATTGCTGTGTTTGAACAGTAATTATTATTTTATGTTGTTACATTGTGCCTTTGTTTGCATGTTTAAGTGGGATAAATGCTGCTCTGCTGGTTATGTAATATTTATTGTTGCGTTATTTTTACTGTCTGGGAGAAATGTAAAATGTAAATACACTTAAAACTGTAACTGAAATTTTAGGATTGTTTGAGGAAGAATATAATTCCCCAGAATGAGTCTGAGAGACTTGGACAAGGATTTGTGTTATATCATTCTCTTCTACATGAACTGCCATGCTTGAGGTGCCAAAGTCAATGTGTCACAGAGAGGTGTGCAGTGCTTTGAAAGGTTTCTGGTGTCTTTACAGCTGTTGTATTTCAGCAACCTGTTGCATTGCATTCTTTTCCATGTGTTCATTTCTGTCTTTCATGCAACGTATGCTAGAAGTTTTAATTCAAAATGTAATTTTTAATGAACTCTCATGCTTTATATTTACATGATATGTTTCAGCCTACATGGCCGTCATCAGGTGCGCTAAAATTGTTTTGGTGAAACTGTTGCATTTATGCACCATCATAACAATTTTTATGACTCAGTCCTGAATTCTGAAGTATAATTCCCCTTTATGCATGGTACATGTGTGGCGACAGGTGTATCTGTAACGTGCAATAATGAGTTTTGTCTACACTTTTGTATGGAACATGCTGATGCTACTTTCATTGCAGTTGAACGTGTACTTACTTTTCTGGTGCTGCGTGTGTTTCAATATTTTGTGTTTTGTATAGTTATGAACGTTCTACAGGTTGATTCTGTTTTATATGTGGTGATAGGGGTCTGTGTGCTGCTGCCTAGTGTTTAATTCAAGCAGTGTTGCAAATATCAGGTTATGTATATATGGTCACATTTGAAGAGTTGTGCATGATGGGTTTTGGATTGGATGATTGGATTTATTGACACCATATATACTGAACTTGGAACTGCAAGTAATACAACCCTATTGCTGATCTACACACTTTACAATTCACTGTTACACTCACACTAGTGTTCTCAGTCTTCACTAGTCTTATCCTAGCAACGGATTTATAACGATATCTTACTGCAGCACACATGACCATCTTTTCACAGCCTAATTCCTTTCTTGCCATCTCTTCTCCATCATTCACCTGCCATCTCCCGAGACTCTCAATTCTAATTCTAGCTGAGTCTGAGTCTGAGTCTGAGTCTCATATTATGACCTACCGTCAGTCAGCCAGTCTATCTTGGATTATAGCACCTATCTGGGGCTTACAACCAGATTTTTATTAATGACAGACAGTTGCAGGTTTGTTGATGTGGGGTGCTCTCTCTGATGAGAGGATGGGTCTATCATTTACAATTGCTGCTGGCCCTCGCCATTGCAGTCATTTTCATGTTTGAGTCCTGTTGGACTTGTGACCATATTTTACTGTCTCAGATTTGAGACTCATTTTTTTGTCGTCTCCTACGACTTGCAGGGTTATGATGGAGGTGTTGGACCCTGCATTCGTAATCCTCGTTATACAGCGTTGAGGTTTACCCACAGAAAACACCGTCTGTCAACAGTAGTTCAGTTGTTGGACATTTTTGGGGAAACATGTTTACAAAGCAG